AAAACAAGAGACATTATGGTAGTCATTGTTGATTTTCTGTTGTACTGTTTTTGAAGTCCTGTAATACTTTCATTTTTTGTTTGTTTTGATTGCTTTTGTTTTGTTTGATTTTATTGTGTGTGATGGTATGGACAGCCATTTTGAAGAAAATGAGATACATTGTGGTAGAAATTGTTGATTTCCTGTTTTCTTGTTTTGAAGTCCTATATCTCTTGCATTGTTCTGTTCTGATTTAGATTTACTTTATTCTGTTTTGTTTGGTTTGGTTCTACTATCTTTAAAATAAAATTAAAAAATAAAAAAAATTAGGCAAGGTGACAGGATAGGCCTGGAGGTCATTGTGTGTGAGCAATGATTTAGAACAGTAAGAACAAATATTAAGTGATATTGTTTGTCTAGAGTGGGGTGTGCACAGAGATAATTAGAAGGGTGGCTGATTTGGACATTCCATGGAGAGTTTCGGGTGTCAGACAAAAGCATCTTCATTTAATTCAATAGGCACTCATCAGGCATTGAGCCATAAATAGACTCTTAGATTTCCTTTTCCTCTTTGTCTTCAGGCCTGATGCTGGTGGAAAGCTTCCTTTTCTTCTCACATATCTTTCTTTGTTCCCTTCTTTTCTATTCTTTCCACCCTCCTCCCTTTACTTCTTCCCTTTCTCACTGTGTTTCTGACGAATCTAGAGTCTCCTTTGAGTCAACTTCTTTCTGCTAGACAAGGAACCATGGCAGCAGCCTAATGTAATTCTATTCTCCTTGACCCAGTTTCTAAGGCTTTGCTGATATATTTCCAATATCCTAGCCTCAGCACTCCACCAAGCAAACAGCTCTTTGATCTCAGATTTGTTTAAAAAATCTTTCTTAAATCACCAAGCTAACAGCTCCTTCAAGAGATAAAAGAATTTTTGCTATGTGGTTGAAATACGAGTGCTCGTGGCCCACGATGGAGTAATTCCATCAATACTGGGGACACCGCTTAACACAAACCTAGTAATGAAGCACACAGCCACCTGGCTCAGGCCCAGTGCTCTCCTACAGTCAGCCCCTTAGAAGGTGTGTTATGATCCCCATTTTACTCATTCTGTAATCATTTATGAAGTACCTACTGTATACCAATAAAGGAGTAGGATTAGAAGATAGTGTTAGAAAAGACAGCATTTCTTTTTATGCTGCTCATATCTTAGAGGGGTAAAAAGGAAAACATTTTTCTTAACATGCATGCTGCTCCCAAACAGAACCAAATCCAAATAACAGAGAAACAGAAGAAAGTACCAAACAAGGCAAATCTTCCTCCAATTCCTGCCCCAGCCAAGTGGTTCCCCTTCCAGGAGGGCACCACCACCATAAATCAATGTATTTCCTACCTTCTACAGATAATTTTTCCCACACGTTCATATTCTTTTTAAAAATAAGTAGTCTTTATGATGTGTCTTTATGATGTGTCTTTTAAAAGTTAAATTATGTTTATTGACAATTTATATGCATACACAAGTTGAGTATATGTTATCTGCAATGCCTAGGAGCAGATTTTAGGTTTATTCAGATTTTGGAATATTTGCACATACATATGAGATTTATTGGATACAAATAAATATGAAGTTCGTTTATGTTTCATATGCATCTTATACACTCATAGCTTAAGGGTAATGTTGTACACTATTTTTAGTGAATCTGCATAGTGTCTGAGTCCCATCAACAGGAGGGCAGATGTGGAATTTTCTGTTTGTGGCATTAAGTCAGTATTTAAAAGTTTTAAATTTGGAACATTTAGGACCTTGGATTTTTGAATTAGAGTTCCTCAATCTGTACTAATAGAGTAATGTTCATGTTAATTTTTTAAATAAATGTGAATAAAAATTACAATATTTTCTCTATTTTAATATATTGTTTTCACACGCTCTACCGAGGGGACCACCAATCTATGCTGAGTTTGCACATTACTTTTTTATTGACCAATAGATTTTGGAGTTCATTCAATAGAAGTGTGCCAGAGCTGCTACATCACTTTAATGATTACAATGTAAGGAACATAATATTGCAGCAATATACTCCCTTATTTTATCAGTCCTGCATTGATAAACATTTATATTGTTTGTTATCTTTTGCAATCATATTCCTTCAATGAATATCATTGCATAGACATGAATTCTGAACATGGCCCATTACTAAAAGCTTTGACACACTCTCATGGTCTAAAAATGTAACAATAAGGAAGCTTGACCATGCTGAACTGTCACTAAAGGGCTATTAAGTATATTTCAATAATAAAAAGGAAATTGCAAAGCAGGCTTGGGATAACAGAACAGTGTTGAACTAGAAAATGATCAAGTAAACTGGTAAATTACTGACATAAAAACAAGAGCAATTTTTGTAATTTTAAAAAAGATTAAACCTGGAAATTTAAGCAATAATAAAATGGACAAGAAACATGCAAAGCATAGTTAAAGTAAGTTAAGGTTCAAACTGACTTTTGGAGGATAAAAGTATTGACAAGTATTTAAGTAGTTTTAAAATTTTTATTTAAATGTAAAGGTTAAAATAATTTAGAATTAATTGCATATTAAAATAAAACTCAGCACCCTTTAAAAAAGACTTGATACTCTACATTATGCACAATGTCTAGCATACAATTAAAATTATGATTCATAATGAAGAAACAGCAAAATATCACCTACAGTCAAAAGAAAAAGCAATTAATACCAACAATGAACCAGAGAGTGGAATTAGTAGACAAGAGTTTAAAGTGGTATTATAAATACATTCAAGGTCTTAAAATGCAATGTGCTCATACTCAGTGAATAATGGGGAGTCTCAGTAAAATGACAACCATAAAAATAAACCAAATGAAAATTAAAGAAATTAAAGTAAATCTGATTTTTAAAATTTACCTGCAGGGCTTAACCACAAATTGAGTTTGCAGAAGAAAGATCAGTAAATTTGAAAACTGATTAATAGAAATTATCCAATCTAAATACTAGGGGAAAACAGATTGTGAGAAAATCGTTCCACAAAATTAATAGCACATAGAATAATCTTATCCTAAATGTAATCAAGGTTCTAGAAAGAAAAGAGGGAGAGCACGTTGAAGGAGAAAGATACTGCAGAAACAATGACTCTCCAAAATCCCCATTTTGCTAAAAAATACAATTTTTAATACGTAAGCAAGATAACAGCAAAAAATAAATAAGTAAATAAATAACCCTGTACCAGGAAAGTCATGGTTTAATAAAAACCAAAGATGGGAAAGTGTTTTTGAATGAGGCCAAAGATAAGATGATACATTATATACAAGGAAATGGTACTTACGTTATCAGTCTTCTCATGTAAGATAATGAAGGCTGGCGTCAGTGGAGCAGCATATTAAAGACAGAGAGAAAAACCTGCTGGCTACCCAGGACATTATGTCCAGAAAAGAAAACCCTTCCAAAATGGAGGGGAATTCAGAGGGCATTCTGATTTTTAAAAAATAAGCAAAGAGTCTACAGCAGAATTACACTATAAGAAAGGCAGGTAATTTTTTTTTTTAAATCACAAAAATTACCCACGATTTTTATTTAAGTAATCTACCAGGAATGACATGAGCTGGAAACTCAAATTTACAGGCACAATAAAGAGCACCAGAGATAGGAAATATGCGGGTACACGTAAAAGACTACCAGTTCAGATGTCAAGGTGGAAATAGTCATGCATGCGATTTGTTGCAGAATGTCCATGACAGATAAAGGTAAGTGGATGGAGGTGTGGAGAGCTTCAGTCAGCAATGGACACTTACACTTATGAATCAGAAAGGATGATTGTATTGAAGAAGTCTTTACTGCAGTGTAGCTCTGAGAACATTTGGCAAGACAGTTGGGTTCTCCAGAGCAAAGAATGCCCTGGAGAGGAGTTGCTTGTCAGGCAAGCCTGGGTCTGGACCTCTGCTATGCTTAGTTACTGGCTGGGGGCATCCTGGGGACTTTAGCATGAATACTGCAGCAGATCTGCAAACGCAATAAGGGGAAGCTGTCCATTAGTGCCTCTCGCAATAGGTTTCACAAACATTTCCCCAACAAATTGTATCTGACCAAAGACCCCTCTACACTACCCACTCCCAGGACAGCTATACCTGGGCACTCACAACTTTATCAGCCCTGCTATTGTTAGTAGCCAGTACTTCCTGTGCTTTCCAAGCCTTGTCCTTGGGCAGCCATTGGCCCTTTTGCTCTCTCAAGCTTTGTTCTTGGCAGGTAGCCACAATCCCTTTTCACTGATCTCCCCTCTCTATGACCCCATAAAAGTCCTTATACCCTGTACAAGAGTTGCTGGTCTGCTCTGTAGTGTCCAATGGTCCCTCTTAGGTTTGTTCTGAAATAAACCTGTCCTAATATGCGCTAATAAAAATGTAAATATCATAAAATGATTAAAACCTTAGAAAAATAATTTTTTCTAGAAACATGAATTACCAAAATTAACTTAAGAAGCAGTTATTACTGGGTATGGTGGTGCATGCCTGGTAATCCTAGCACTCAGGAGACTGGGGCAAACGGTTCACTGCCAGTGAAAATCTAGCCTGGACTATATAATGAACTCAGGGCCAGTGTGAACTACATAATGTGACCAACCAACAAATAAATGGAGCAATTTTCAAAATTAACCTAAGAGGTAGAAAATCTGTGTGAAACACTGAACATTTAAAAAATAGAATGACAAGTTTAGCACACCTACGCCAAGAGCAAAAAACCACTGTAGAAAATTTTAAGACACTTTCAAGAAACAGAAAATTCCTATATTTTTTATTTTTTAGAGACTAAAAAAAGGAGGAAACCCTCTTCAACTTGTCATTTTACCTACATACAAACTTATGGACAAATTTCCAGCAACTAAATTGTTGGATCAGGTGTAACTAACTGTAATTGTGATGCAATGTTACCATAACACAGGTAGGATAGAGGAAATAAAGGTAACAATGGAGACAAGGAAAGTCATAACTAAAAATTGTACTTTTGAAAAGACTGCAGCTCCTGGGACAACCCTGAAGCAGCACAAGGCTACAGGTACCACATTCCCTTGGTTAATAAGGCTCCTTTCCTTCCAGACCTACACACCCAAAATTCCTCCATAAACAGGCTTACTTGAGAAACTGAGGAGCAGGAAGCTGATCCTAAGATAAAGAAACAGGTTGAGAGATTCAAAGAATACTTAATGTTGGAGTTTTCTGGTGCAATAAGAAGCAAAAAGTACAAAACAAAAAGAACAGGTTTATTGAGGGCGTGGAAAGGAGCACACAACCTCCACGGCGGCTGGGCCGCCTCCTTCGACCAGATGCAGAGAGGCAGAGGGTTATATGACCTCTGACTGCAGTGGTGCATGGGGCGGACATTGATGACGTGTGAGGTACTGATTGGAATTCTCTTTGTGCACAAACAGGAAGAGGAGTTGCAATTAGGGCTGAAGAAGAAGAAGTGATAAGCAGTCCTGCTTTGGCCTTGGTAATGTTAGACTATTGCTGTAATTGCACAGTAATTTATACTAGAGCACCTTTCGCTTTATACTAGGAACCTTTCATTTCAATTATTCATATAAAAAATGTAGGCTCATAGTTTGCACCAGTATTCTTCTGGGGGTGGGCCAACTTCTCCTGGGTTTTCATACACTCAAGAGAAGCATGAATGTTTCCTGATCCAGAAACTAATATGCTTCAGTTCTTGGAGCCCCACATTCTACTCTTGCATGTGTCCTTTTAAAATTCTGCCTAATCAGTGCTTTCTGTGCCTCTTACAGATCAGTCCTAAAAATTCTTTTTCCCACTACAGGAGTCAGCAAATCTGCAAGCATATTCTGTGGGTAGGGCAGGTTTAGGCTCCTTATCTCTACATTGGGAATCTTGGGCCCTGTCCGGTGACACTCATAAATTCTTACCAAAAATGTTTTAAAATTTTTTGATCCTTGCTAACTAGTCATGAAAAATGGTGTTCCACTGAAGTTTTATTTTGTACTTTGTATTACTTTTAAAGTTTATCTTTTCACATGTTTATAAGCTTTATATAACTCTTTTCTGTGTGTTGCTTGTATTCTTTGCCCATTTAAATGTATGGTATTTGTTTTCTTTTTGTATAAGAACTCTTTATAATATAGCTTTGAAATGTTCATCAGTCCTATTTTGATTTTCTAGTAATTCTTTTGTTGTGGAGAATTCAACACTTTGATACAACTGTATCTAGTAGTTGCCTTTGTATTTTACATCATGTATTCAAAGAAGGCCAGCCCAAGCTATTTCTTAATACACCAGTCTTTTGATTACTGCGATGTGTAAGTTTAGGCATGAAAGAGTTTTGGCCCAGACAGGACATTGTAGCCGGTAGAGCCTTAGAGGCGGAACCAAGGAGCTCCTATCTCCTCCACCCCTAGGAATTTATCTATGGCACCAAAGACCAATTGGCTACCTGTGCATCCCTAATGCCCCCTTAGGTTCCACCCCAAACCGAGGCTACTTATGTGCCTCACTCCAAGTGTTTCTCGGAGACGTCACTGACCCACAGGGTGGAGATGCTGCGCCCCAGGGGATCGGGGGTGTCTCTCCCCGCATTCTCAAAGGTCATTTATATTTCATACTTGTTATCTTTTCAGCCACCGCCAGTCCCTCACAGTTCTATCAAGGCAGAGAACAACGTTCACACCACGAACCCCCCAAGACCTGAAAGGCCACCAAAGCTGCTCTTTCTAGGATGCTTTGTGACCACGACCACAGATGGTGTAGGTGATACAAAGAGCCCAGGCTAAGGTGTAGTAAAAATGAGATGCTGTTTAAAAGGCCCAGCCAAACAAAGGATTTAGCCAAACAAAGAAGGACTGGGGAGGGGGGCACATGGTGGGGCACTCCTGTAATCCCACACTCTTGAAGTTGACGTCAGAGGGTCACCACAAATTCGGGAAGTTCAAGGCCAGCCTGGGCTGCATAGTGAGACCTTGTCTCAAAAACAAAAACAAACAAACAGAAATAAGACTGGAGAAATGGAAGCCATTCAGTCCAGCTAGAGTACAGTTGGAGGGAGGAAATGGTAAGCAACGAATCTCAAGAGATTAAAAGGGAGGCCATGCTTAGAAACCTGAACTTTTTGAAGGGAAGGAGCCACTGAAGAATATTTTTAATAGGAGACACAGCATTGCCTAGATTTGCATTTTAGAGAGAGTACGCTGACAACAGTGAGGAAGTGGATTGGAACAGGGCAAATCTGAGGCTAGCAGCATCCTTTTATGTGAAAGCTGGTTCCCTGTGAAGATCACCTGCCCCACATCACTCAGATAATAATTGGTTATACTGGGCCTGAGACCAAATATTCTACTTTTAATGAGTTCTTCACAGGCAAAAGCATTGGAGAATGTTCCAGGAAAGGATAAAAATCTGTCACTGTGTGGTTTTAAGTGTGACTCTATTAAAGCCCAAATCTAGTGTGCTTGAAATCCAGTAAGCTCATCTGAAATCTGAGTGTACAGCAACCCTTAAGTCAGCTGACTATTGGATCTCACAATTGGAAGAAGGCCCAGAAGTTCCTTTCCCACCCTTGGAATCCCTTCCCAAACACACCCAACAGGTGGCTAAAGGGCCCTGTTTGGCACCCTCTACCTTCAAAGGGGAAGTCTGACCTCCTGTTCCTGCTGGTCAGATCTAAACACAGAAAGTGGTTTCTAATGTTAAGCCAAATTCTTCCTCCTTGGGGCTTTTACTGATTGGTCAGCTCTGTCTTCTAAATCCCTTTTCCTCAAAGAAAGCCATTAGTCTTTAAGCCAGTGGAAACGAGGAAATGCTATTATAGGGCATCCTAAAAGTTATAGTTTAAAATAGGCCAATAGGTACAAACATCTAGGTACAAAATACCTAAAAGTAATTGATAAATTTTGCACTATATATTCTTTACCACAGTTTAAAATTTTTAAAATACTTTTTTAAATACTCCAGCTGTAATACACTAACCACTTAAAATAACACTGTGTAGCTTTGAACTTAAATGTCTATGGCTCTTCAGAATAACCCTGAATTTTTATCTTACCTCCTTATTATAAGGAGCTGCTTTAGCCAGTGCCTCAGGGATGCTTGTTCCTCATTTATAGCAGCTAATCATTTCAGTGAGCTGTAGTCAGCCAGCAGACATCTCACATACTAATTGGCAAAGTAATGTGTGTGTAAAGTTTAAAACTTTGAATTATGTGCAGAAATGTAACACTCTTTTCGATGTTAAATGAAGCTTTCTGTGAAAATATTGCTTTTTGAAAACTCTGCACAGTGTTTGCTTATTCTTTTTTTAGTTTTCTCTCAGAGAAATCCTCGGAGAAATGATTATGATTTTCCTAGAAAAATATTTCCCAAATTTTTATAATACAGTTAGTATATACTATTTCTAAAACCACCTTAGGGTATATGGCTTTGTTATGGCCCAGCAGAGAAGCAAAAATGATAGCAGCTGCTGCAGAAAGGATACATATGCAAGCAAGGAAGGAAGAGATCAGAGGGGCTCTTTCTCTGACAATCTGCTCTCAGACCTGAGCCAGTCCCACAAAACAGCATCAATCCGCTCATGAAGGTGAAGCCCTCCTGACCTAACTGCCCTCTGCACCCTGCATTTTAGTTTCTACCACTTCCATGCTGCACACGAGAGATCAATGCATAAACCCTGGGGGCAACAAACCATATGCAAGTCATATTACCAAGTTATCACCTCTCATCAAGGCACCCCATAATCTGCAATGACCACTCCAGCACTTCTCTTACCTAGCTTTGTCACTTTAAAAGGCTCAGGTGAATGAGTTAGGAGTATAGCTCCGTGATAGAGCATGTCCTTAACACAGGCTCTGGCTTCAATCTCCAGTACCATTCCTCTTGGGAGGAAAAAAAAGGCTCTAAGTTAAGCTCTGGTTATTTCTTAGCAGGACTGCAAGAACTAGTCAATGGTTACCTCAGTTGTTGCCCTTCTTACAACAAAACTTTTATTATGAACAAGGTCATTCCATTTCGTGGTTTTAGTCTCTCCTGCAGTGATTCTGTGTTATAAGACAAAGAAGTTCAGTGCCTCATTGTACAGCTGGGCACATATCTAAAGAAGATCAAATAGGCATGGACTGGGACCTGTGGGGACCTCACCACAGATTCATGCAAAGAACAAGAAAAAACTTTCTTCCAAAAAAGCATTGAAAGATACAGTTAGCTCCTGCTTAGCAAAGGAAAGAAAGATAAAACTCTCTTTCCTTTACTCTAGTGTTATTTCCACTACTGAAAATCATTAGAGGGAGGGTTCTCGAGGATTCCTATAAGTTTTATTTGTACATTATACTTTATTGTGGCTTAATAATACCCATATCTTATTCTGAGAAATGCTGTTTTCTATCAAATTCCGGCACTTGCAATGTTAGGCTTCTGGGCAGAATCTTGAGACACAACAGAGAAGTTTTTTCATGCCTTTCCATGGAGACTAGTGACACTACAGGAATAAATTGCGAGGTAGTAAAATAAAATATGAGGTTTAAGAGAATGGGCTTCTTATCAGAGAAGCCTATTCCAGGCTCAGTTTTGCTGACAGTTAAACATACAGTCTTACACAAGTGACTTAACCTTTCTGAGCCTTACTTCATCTCTAAGATGGATACAATAATAGCTTATTAGGATGATTATGTAAAATAATGATCATAAAGAACAAATGATAGTATCTGACAAAGAGTAGAAGAACTCATAACACCATTTCTTAATGTTTGTATATGTTTTCTGCAAGGCAAATTGTTATTCTGATACATTGTTGGTGGGAATAAAACTGGTTCAGCCTTGTTGGAGGGTAATTCAAAGTTTCCATCAAATTTTTAAATCCCGTGGGCTTCCAGCCTGTAATTCCATTTCTAAATGTCTATATTAGAGAACCATTCATAAGCATATATTTCACCTTCCAAACTTGAATTTGGTATGCTAATTAGCCCTATACACATATATAAGGAAGTTTTCCCTGTGCTTTCTACGGTGTCAGGCTAAACTGATAAGAAAGAGTGCTGGCTGTGTTAAAGAATCATTAACAAGTTTCTCAAGCTTCCCAGAAAGCCAGTCTTAGTTTCCTGCTATTTTAGAAATGGAAGTTATATAAGCCTTAGAATTGCAGGTTGTAGAATAAAATAGAACTGACGAGGATTAACTGTGCCCTCTTGTAGATTAGAAAATTTTAAGCCCACCGAAGTAAAGTAATTACACCTGGTTCCTCAATTAGAAGATGAAAGACCCCAGTACAGATTGGTGCTAAGTATGAATTTTACGTTCTCCAAACCCAGCTGTGTCCTTTACATTGCTGCAAAATTTATTCGTCCTTATTTTCAGAGTGGCAGTCATGGAAAGTTGTTTACCCGGTATCTCTTTACCACTCTTTGCCTGGCTCAGAAATATTAATCTGCCTAGATTCTCTTGTAGTCAGACCTATTTCTGGCCAACAAGATGAAATCGAAGTGTAGTGGATAGGCGGGCCTTTCAGGAAAGCCATTATTTTTCTTACTTAAAAAGAGAAATAGAGCTGGCAGGCAATTTCTTGACCCTTCCCCAAGTTTCCTTTAACAGGAACACATGGTCTCTGGAGTGTAGGCACCACATTGTCCCTAGGGGCAGAGGCACTCACTGAGGCTGGTGTGGTAGGAATATAGGAGTCTGGGACACTGATGATGTTTCAGAGACACTGCTCCAGCCTTGGGCTGGCTACCTCTTATCACTTTCTGTTACGCTAGACAAATAAGCCCCTTTTTCGGTTAAGCTTCTGGGACCCTGTTCTTTTCTCCTTCATTTCCCAAGGAGAATGAAAGGTTCTAGGCTACAAGCACTACCATTCCTAAGTTCATGAGGCTTAATCATTCCTGTCCTAGGAGACGAAGGGACCATTCTTCGTTCCCAGTTTAACCATGTCCATCTCTGTCTGCTGCCTTCCATTTCCTTCTTAAACTAAGGCTGCCAGTCTCCTTTAGTCCTACTCTTAGCACTAAAAACTTCTTTCAATTTTGCCTTCAATTTTCACTCCCTTTTAATATTCTATTCTTTTTGCTTCAGATCTAAAAGTCTTAAGAAAAGAGACTCCAAAGTGTACCCTCTATACTAGTCTAGTCAACCTTATCTGACTGTCACATTTCACTACTTATTCTAGCTGAACACATGAAGACTTTGGTATTGCTAACCCACCATTCCCCTTTTGAACTTTGACCTCTCTTGGCATCATGACATCATTCTCTGCTGCCTCTCCAACCCAAACTCTGACTAGACTCTGCTCCTCCTTACCTGCTAAGCCTTTAGATGCTAAGGTTCCTCAAAGAGCTTCCTAGACTTTATCTTCTCATTCTATGCCTCTCTAGAGGAAGCCTCTTTCACCCATGTGGCATCCATTATCTTGTATTTGCTAATTTTCTCCAAATCTGCTTATGGATCACTTTCTTTACTTTTTTCTTTTCTTTTCTTTTCTCTATTTTTTCAGTGCTGGAAATCAAACACAGGGCCTCACAAGTGTTTTGCCACTGAGTTACACCTCCAGGAAAAAATCAATGTTTTAAATTGTGAACTTGATATTCTCCAACTTCTCCTACACTGTCAATTTTGGCAGGTTCAAGGCTGCCATCTCCCATCCCCAGCCACCCCTGCCATGGTTACACTGTCCCTTCCAGAAAGGTGCACCATCTGAAGTCCAAGCAATCTAAACAGAAACCTTAAAAGGACAGTCACTCCTACCATGATCAGTATACATTCTCCTAAAAGTCAGTGTGCTGTGTAGAATTGATCAATAAAAACTACAGAGCTAG